TGAGTTCACCTTGAGAATGTTTAAGAAAAACTATACAGAAAAGTAAAGTGTTAATAGTGACCAGCAGCTGTAGAAGGCATCAATGAAGTCGACAGAGTGCACACATCTTCTTAAAAGGCAGTTGAAATTTTTCCTAAGGAAAAGCTTTAAAACTAATATATCATAAATAGGATTTATCCTCCCATGTATCAAAGCTTTTGACAGCCAAATGTGGAGGCACAAAGTCAGAAACTAAGAAATCTTTCGTGTATGACAGAGGCAGTTATTTGTTTTCACATGTAAGCTCATGTGCAAATATGTCTATGTGTATAAAGGTCATTACGAGATATAAATTATGCCCACACCAAATATCCTGAAGCTTTGCAGGTGTCAGCCACAAAATGTGTATAAAAGCTGGACTGCCTTAAAAGTGAAGCCAATGCAGATGTGCCTTAAACTTGCTTTCTTCCTCATGATCATAAGAGGGCAACTTCAGGGATTTCTGAAAGAGGCTCAACTTAATAGAAGTTTATGAGATATAACACTACTCCGCAATTGATTTAGTGCAACACTCTCTTGTTGAGTTATTGGTTTAAAAAGCTACCTTTAATACAGCATAATGTTCATTTGGGTAATTATGGTCCCCTACAGGGCGGTGCCTCCGTAGTGTAGTGGTTAACGCACTGGCTTAGCAAGCAAAAGGTTTCTGCTTCCATTCCAGACAGAGACACTAATTCCCTTTTGGGTTGTGTCAGCAAGAGCATCCAGTGTAAAACTCTGCCAAATCAAACATGACAAGGGATCAGCTCAAAGAAGCTTTCATGATCTCATATAGAGCAAAATAGATGAACTACCTTGTGATTATCAAGTTGCTACCATGTGAACATGTAGCTTCCTTGAGTTTTAGTCAAAAAATTGAAATGCAAAAGCTGAAATGCCTGAAACGTTATACTTTGTTTTTAATTAAGTGGCTGAACTGCTTCAGCATCCCTAGATATTCATTTTGCCGTCACAAACAATGATTAAAGAATTAAAAGGGTCACAGCGTGTCTTTACGCTGGCGTTTTGATCCGTATATTAACATGAAACCATAGTAGGTATGTGTATCATGAAGGTGTGTACAGTGTTAGTGTAGTGTACTGAGATAGAGATCAGAGGTTAATGATGTGAATCAGACAGGAACCAGACATTACCTTCACCGTGGAGCTAATCTTCAGACCAGGCGCCTTGAGCTATGTCTGATAACATAGCTAATTATTTCAGATATAGACTCTGCGGGGATTCTTGTAAACCAGCATATCAGTAGCTAAGTTTATTATCAGAGCAATTTACACTGATTAAACAATAAGATTGTTTGAGGTCCTGAATAAGTGAAACCTTAAAAAGCTTGACCGCAGTATATTAGAGACTGTAGTTCATACAGCGAAGACACACCTGAAAACATGTGTGTTACCGCATCATTACGGCAACAATGGGAATGAACTGTGAGCAACGTCACCCAGAAAGAGCCAGGGGTACATTAATGAACTAACTGCCCACTTGCGTGGTATGTAGTGCATTAAGGTAAATGTATACCAGGTCTTGGCTCTTTTGAACACTCACTCTTGTTCACTCAAGCGTTGGATCGCACACCTATGATGAAAAAAAGGCATGCTGCGTGCAGGAAATAAGGAAAGAAAAAGTTGTAGGTCTAACATTATTGCAGCAATCTGTAAAATGCATGGAGGCCTGGGCTTGGAGTAGAGGCTGAGGGACTGCCTCGGGATATTCTTCAACGCATTGTAATGAGTGCATGGAAGGAGTCTGGGCAGTGGCGACTGCTGCAAAGCTCTGGTGGTTTCTTCTACCCCGAACAGAGCTCTGCGAGTGTCATGAAGCCCGGAGGTTATAACCGCTTCTCCTTCGTCTCCTGACTTTATCTGCTCCTGCAATCCACTATCTGACTCTGAGGTTAGATAAGTCTGATGCAGTACACACATTTTAAAACATATGCGCTGGCCAGACACTCAAATCCAAGATGATTTCATGAAGAAACAAGGCACAAAGAAGATGGAAGTGGTTCCTTTGCCAAGATGAGTTCTGAACTATCTCTGGGCTGCTGCACAAGTGATGCACTGTCGTGGTATTTGCTAAAAGGCTTTAACATTAGATTTACTGTCACTAGATTTTGTGTCAAACACCATGGTGACCATTATCTCTATTTGTGGTGACTGTTGTCATATAATCATGTCTGTTTTTGAATGGATCAGTGCTTCCCTGAAATCAGCTCGACTGAAATCAACTAATCAGAGATGTCAAAGTTCTCAGCAGCAACACAGTTGGAGCCAAGCTTAGAAAATACCAGTGAGGGGCAACCACAGACTATGTAAAATACAGTATGGTCTCCCACAGAAATGTCCTGTTTGCCATTTTAGGAATGTGTAAATGCAGAAATGTCGAGTTGCTAAATTTAATATTGTTCTGGCTCCTGTAGGAGTTTAACCCGTCGATAAATCCTTATAGAATACAGAAGACTTCAGACTCCAAACCATGACCACTGTGATTATTGTGTTAGATGTGACAAAGGGAGAGAAAGAAACATGCAAAGGGACAAAAGCAGTATAAGTAAATGAGATTTTCTGGCACTATAGATAGCATCATTTATAGTTGTCATGGGTTTTTTTGAGGGGGGGTGCACATTGTCCCAGAATAGACTTATATTTTTAAAGTGACCTCCCACGACCTCAGCACCAAATCCAGTCAAACAGCACCATAATTGGTAGTCTATAGATCATTCACTCTAACCAATTGTGTTTTAGCATGCTAGCAGGATTGACGAGTTCACCCTAGAGCTATCATTTTACTACTTACAAAAATGGGATTGTCCTCATATCATCAGAGCTTTCCATCCTTTTCTCATGCCTGTCCCCATATTTATGTCTTTCTTCCTCTCCCAGCACCTACTGCCTCCGGCATTTAATGCCGCCTGAGCACAGCAATTTGTTGAAATTTCCCATTGGAGCCTGGGAGTGAACACACACATACAACCACCACACAGAGAAAAGATATCCTCATATGTCCAGGGGCAAGAAGTCATTAACCAAATGTATGCAGAAGATCACAAAAGAGACATCTTTTGTGTGTTGGTGGTTTTCTTTTGTTGTAGAAAGGTGAAGAGAAGGTGAGGGGACTAATTAGTAATTAGAGTTCAGGTCCAGGTAGACCTCCTTTGATAAGCTGCACCAATTCAGCCCGGGTGCCAGACTGACTCAGCTTTCATTTCTTCACTCATGCTGTTTTGCCAAGAGAACAACAAAGGAGCTGGAGGGAGCACAACCGTTCTGGCTCTCATGTTTGCTAGTTAGGAGACACGAAGCTGGTTTGGTGTTTGGGATATGATCCTGCAAAATATGGCAGACTGATAGAATAGCTAGATTATTGTTGTGTAATTGCCTAAATTGCCTGCTAACTGTGATGCCCTATATCTCAATGAAAGCAGATGTTATGCAGATCTTCCGAGAAAATGTAACTCAGAAACCTCACAGGATAAAATTAGAATGTGCCACTAGATGGAATATTTATGTTCTGTCTGAACGCGAGCCAGCGACGTGTGTGTTTCATTTGCACATCTGTACGTGCTCGTCAGGTTTTTGTGTGTTCAGAATAGCAGCCATATAAAGGGCTGCTTATTTGTTCCCTTATCCGCTAAATAAAAGTGCCCCTAACACGGTCATTCCCATGCAACATCATTGTAATGCCGTCTTTTAATGGAACAAGACTGTAAACACGGGGCAAGACCCTACAAGTCAGAGTAGACTGCCACAATTCAATCTGACCTCAATATTTTATGCCATGGAATCAAACACACAAATTCCATTTTAATTGTGGTGTATTTGCAGTGGCCTGCATAGTACTCTTTTAATTTTTGCTGTACCGTAAAGAAACAACCACCCATTCATTAGATGGATTGAGCAACACAACCGCTGTAATGCGTTTTACTCCCCTCTTTTGTATCCTGCCGAAACAATGTCTGTGCGATATTCATTCCCGGGAACATTCTGGAAAGCATCACCCAGTGGGGACACTATGTGAGACTGTGTGTCTTGGGAACTCATTTTAGCATTACCCCATGGGGGTTTTAGCGTGGATATTTGTTGTGTGCATCAGAGGATTGCATGCTGTGGTGCGCATGAACATTAACTAAGCAGGAGTCATCAAAGTCTGATTCTGGTGTTGTGCCTTAGCCCTTCTGTGGGTGACCATAAGTGCTCTGTTTACATCTGTCCGGGCTGTGGGAGCCTTCCTTGCATGAGGCAGGAGCCTCTCTGGTATCAGCCAAGAGTTTCCCTGAGTAGAGTATGTACAGAAGATGGTTACATGCTTTCTGAGTCAGGTTAGCTCACAATTTAAACAATAGGCAAAATACTGTGACAATTAAAATAGGTCTTGTGCTTCAAATACTGCTCTTCTCTCTGTTCGGGTCGATTATCACACACACACACACTCACATACACACCAAATATTATATGGGAAAATAATGCTCTTTGTGCTACTGCGGGAACACCACCAACATCTCATTGGTCGCTGCCCAGCTGTCTGTCTGCCCAACTGTCTGTGAACTGGTGCCTCACACCAGTGCATGGTCAGGGCACAGTGAACAAATTATAGCCTGAGTGAACATTGAATAATACAGCCAACAACAAAAAAAATAACATCTTCATTATGAATGAGTTGGCCATGCAGTATCAGACCTAAGGGTGTTGGCAGAAGGAAAAAAAATGCCCATAGCGTTCCTGTTCTGCACCATTGAGTTTGTTAAAAGAAAGAGCTACACTGAATAGAGTTTGATTCCTGCTGCTAGCAAAGCATGCTTAAACACTAGAAGTGAAAGGTTCACAGAGGAAATTGCTGGAACATGTTAACATTGCTTCCGAAATTGAGTTATATTGGACACACATCCTCTCAAAGTAAAAAAAGACCAAACCAAAGCGATAATCGAGGATGGATTGTCTCTAACCGATGCCTTCTTATTGTCTCCGCAGAGATCTGAGCGAGAACTACATCCAGTCCATTCCCAGAAAAGCTTTCAGGGGAGCTACAGACATCAAAAACCTGTGAGTACCTCACTCTTTCCAGGGTAAATGTGCTCTGCCCTGCAATGTACAGTTATCTTCGTTATTAAATAAGGATTGGTCTATAGAAGCTTTAAAAAAGTTATGAGGTTATGATGAATGCAACCAAAAAGTCTAGCAACATCTGAAAGTAACCACATTTACAAACTGAAAAATACATGGAAACAGTTAAGTGATTAAAAGTCGCTTAAGGAAGTATAAAAATAACTGGTTAATTAGTTATTAACATGATTCTAACATTGCAGTTATGGCAAGTCAATGAAGAGTCAAGCAAGATTATACAGAATAAATTATTATATTACAAGCTACTGTAAATGAACATTTTCCAATATTTATCCAGTCGGGTTAATGGCCTTTGGTAACCGCAAAACATTATGTACATGTCGGTATGTGTAATTTCAGCAGACTGTGCATCACACTGATTAAGTAGACTAACTACCTCACACACGCTCACACACACACACACACAGAGCTCCCCAAAGGCGTCTTGTAGCAACACTGATTTGCATCTTCGCACGGACACATACTGTAGATTTATGAGGTGTATCGATGCAGATAAACAATTAGTGAAGTGCTACTCTTGGGGTTACAAGAGCTGAGATGACTAAACCAGTATTGATTTACCACAATCCATCAGTGTTCTGCTCACTGTACCCACGATTACAAATAGCCTATAGGGAGGCGGAAAGATTGTTTACTGTATGTGCCTCGTGTAACAAAGGCTCTCTCTTGTGTGTGATCTGCAGCCAGCTGGATAAAAACCACATCAGCTGCATAGAGGACGGAGCCTTCAGAGCTCTGAGAGGCTTGGAAGTGCTGTAAGTATCTGAAGTGATGCTATTCATCCAACCCAGCCCTCTATTGTTCCATTAAAGCACTTAGTTAAATTAAGACATTGTTTTGGCCTCGCTAATAAGCATAACTAACAAAGCACAGGCCTGGCTTATACCAAAATACCCCCCTGTGGGCCTCACGAGGGGGGGCCAGCATCATGGAGACCAAGCTCCATTAAGTCACAGTTGACAGCAGGGTTCCCTTCGATCACATTAACACCCCCCACCTGCCCACCACTTCACCTCCATCTACACATCACCCACTGCTGGGCAGGCCATCTGACATTTGGGGGTTCCTACCATTTTACAAAAAAAAAAAAAAGGAATCCTATTCAAGTTAGCACTCAATCCTCCATGCATTGGTGACCATGCTTAGCAGTTTTTGAACATTCAATTAATCATCCCTTGTCTAAAGTGTCCAAGCGGTCTCTGTTAGAGCTCTCCACCTGAAACAATTTAGACTTACAGTTCAGGCAGGGGGACGAGGGCACTTTGACAGGCTTGCTATTTTGATAGTGAAAGGCTGTTTTGCATGTGTGTTTGTGTATGAAGGGTTTGAAAAAAGTGACAGCTGCTGTCATGACATAGAGGAAATAGTCGTAGGGTTGTCACAGTGGTACAAGCAGGGATAGGGGGTTGTTTTGATAGGGTCTGTATTTATAGGTTTCGTGGGGGGAGGAGGACAGCTTGCGTTGAAAGGGGGTAGCAGGTTGAAATATTGCAAAGGGTTATTAGGCTGATTGAAATGACCCGATTCTCTTTCTGCAGCTGATGCCCAGAGTTCGATGAAAGCGGTGTGATCATGACTGTGAGCTTGCCTGTGCATATTTGCATGCATGAATGTCTGCATCTGCGAGGAATAAGGTGCTAGACTCCTGATAGGCCACGAGAAGAAAGAGAGACGGGGAGAGTTTCAAAGAGACGGGACAGAAGAGAACTGATTCCAAAAAGTTTACCGATGCTAAAATCTTGTTTGCTTTTTCACAGAACGCTGAACAACAACAACATCAGCAGCATCCCCGTCTCTAGCTTCAACCACATGCCCAAACTACGGACTTTGTAAGTCTCACAAATCCCACCACTTTTCTACTGATCCGGAGATATTTCCCATAAAAATAAAACAATATTCCACACACAAACAGGCAAAGCAGAGAAAGGGCTGAGTCCTGTGTGATTTCAATGGGAGTAGACAGGTTCTGTCATTCCAGTCAATGTTGGGTGGCAGCCATAACCACAGAGTACCACAGAAGGGTCTGTAGCAATGCCAGGGGCCATTATTCCCTCCATCTAAAGACAACAACTGGTCCAGATAGACACAAATAGCCCCACAAGTCTATTGTGTATTGTGCATTGTATGTGATTACTAAATCTGAAATTATGCACAAATTAAAACAATTATGCCTGCTGAAACTCTGGACCGTGACTCCACTGCTCTTGCGGTGACATTTTAGGCTCCCAGTGGGGTAGTATTATATGGCTTTTCTGTTTGTGTGCACACCATGCGTCTGCACACATGGGTTTGCGAGTTAACACACATGCTCCAGAGGTCCACCTCACCACGGCAAGAGTTATTCTGGACAGGCACAGCACTGCAGGAATGCAGTGTTTGGAGTAGGTTTAGAAAAGACCTCTTTAGTGTTCCTCTTTTTTAGAAAGTGTCATTTATAATCATCCGTGCAGCGTATCATTTGTGTTTTGCCACAGGGATTGGATGTGATGAGTTGTAGGAAAGAATAGACACGTTTTATGCTATTTATGTCTTCAGCTTGTGGTATTTTAGACAGAAAAGGAAAACTTCTTCAATCAATCAACTTTTCTTTTTTTTCCCCCTCTCATTTAACAGCCGTCTCCACTCGAACAATCTGAACTGTGACTGTCACCTGGCGTGGTTGGCCCAGTGGCTCAGGCAGAGGCCTACAATTGGCTTATTCACACAATGCACTGCCCCTCCTGAGCTCAGAGGACTTAATGTGGCAGAAGTACAGAAGCATGAATTCAGCTGCTCAGGTAAGATACATTTACAATAAACTTTTGACCAGCAAACAATGCATTTTATAAAAGTTTTTTTGTGTGCAAAAGGCAGCAAACAAAATGGTTCTTTATGACAACGTCTCCCTGTGGAGTAAATCTTTTACGGTCCCCTGGTCACACTGACACAAAAACACAGGAAGTATCCTGTGTTTTTGTTTCAGTGTGTATTCACCTGGCAGCCACATGATAACCTGGCAACCCCATGCTCTCTTCTGGCCTTTGCATGAGTGCCCACCTCTTGAGGAGCTGGCGCTGTTGCAAGGAAAATGCCCAGCGCACAGCTGGAGCGATGGCTGCCCCCATTGACAGTAGACCCTCTCTCCTCAATTTGTCATTATTTATAGCTTCTCACCTTCTAGCACAAGGATAACCGTGGCTTTGAAATCACTATTTCTTTTGCGGTGTGTGCGCATGTGTGTGCGTGCGCGTGCACGTGTGTGTGTGAGAGACAGAGAGAGCATGTGCATGTGGGTGTGTCATGCCGTGCATTGGGGTTATCATATCCGGACAATGGAAAAACAGCATGAGAACCTCCACTCCCCACAAGGCCATCTCACTTGCAACGCCAGCTGCGAGGGGTGTTTGTGTCTACGTTTGTGTGTGTGTGTGTGTGTGTGTACCTCTCTCTGTCTCTCTCTCTCTCCATGGGTTGTGATTTTTACGCAGCCATACGGCGTGACAGCACAGATCATTAACTATTCATCGCCCAGGGAAAGAGACTCAAAGCGTGGGAGTGTAACGATTCCAGATACGAAAGGGGAGCAGGGGGTGTCAGGGAAATTTGGTTTCTGATAGGATACTGATACAGAAAGTTGAGGTTTCGAATGATGGAGAGCTGTAGTTCATGTAGCATACATATAAGCTGCTGTTGTGTAAAAATACCTAAAAAAGTTAGGAGTGTTGTAGACAGACAAACATTGATTTTTTTTTTTGAGAGTGTCAATAGCTGATCGTTTTTGTGCCTGCTAACACCAGCAGGAAATCTACCGCTACTATGTATTTGTGTGTGTAAGTACACAGTGATGCACACACACAAACACATACGAACAGTTTCTTCTTGAGAGGATGAGTGACCAGAAGTTGAACTCCCAGTGAAGGACTCATTAGGGACTGGCTCGCTGGCACATGCATATACACACATACTCCTGTTTTTTGTTTTTTTTTTAGTATTTTTGATGTTCAGCACTGTGTGGTTGTGCGTGTATTTAGTGTGAGCTGTGACCAGGCCAGGCCACCTGCGGGGGATTTGGGGCGGGGTGGCGCTGTGTTGGAAGAAAAGAAGATGGAGAAGCGAGGCGTGTTGCTGTTATGAGAGGCAGGAGAAGGAAAACGGGGTACAGTGTGTTATTCATCGATTCGAAATATGATGAAATTCTGCAGCACCCTGTGTTATGACTCACTTTCTTTCAGTCCCAGTTTTAGGCTGGAAAGCACCACTGTATTGTAAATTTTTGCCTGTAATGAGCAGAGTAACACATTTACTGCTTCGCTTTGAGGAAAAATATTTTTCCAGGCAGTGATTTATCATCAGTCCCCTTTAAAAATGGGGTCATTCTTTAACAGTTTAAAAAAACATTGCTGTGTGCTGTATACCAATACTTAATGATTAAAAAAATGGAAAAGCGGCTTTAAAAAGTACTAAATCCAGGTGAAAATTGGATTTTAAACAACATTTGCAGAATAAACACTCCTTTTTTAACTTTCTAAATGCTTGAAGGGACTCCTGTGCAAAACCAGTCACTCATTTGCGTTATCTCACAAATTTCTGCAGTGAAATGCATTTTCTGTTCTCCAAACAATTTTGTTTCTTTCAAAAAGTTTTTTAGGTTTGAAATCTGGCTGAAAATCTTTTTCCCCCTTAGCTGTAGCCAGTTACACAAGCGTCAGTTTCTGCTTTAGGATACAGTTACTCCCGTTTGTCTTAATGGGCTTTTCTGTGTGTTGTTTTATTCAAACCAAACATTACGCATAACTCCCATGATCGTTTGGAGCAGATCAAACCCAAAGTTAAAAGGTTCTTGTGCCAACATCATGCTCTATATGACAAAAAATGGATGACTAATTCTACCGCATAACTGCTCTCACAATATAATACAAAAGTAAAAATATTGTGTTTGAGATGAATAATTAATAATAAATTGCTTCAGGGTTGAATACAATACAGCTCTTGTAGTGTGAAACAGGAATTACCCTATAAAAATGGGAAACTGCAGAGGAGACAAATGGGAAGAGGCCAGCGATGGAGGGGAGTTAAATATCAAGACTTGTGAGCACATGGACAGAAGCTAATGGCTTGCAGTGATAAAGAGGCTGAAAATGAGGATGTTAAAAGGGAGTATGAAAGTACAGGTGGAGCAGGGGAAAACTGCTGGAAGAAGGAAAGCAAATAAAAGAAGGGCAATGGGAAGGTAACTGGGTAGCAGAGAAGGCGAATTGGAGAGATAATGGGGGATAGGCAGGAAAAAAAAACAGGGGAGGAGCAAACATCAAACAGCTTCACCTCAAGTGTACCTGTCACAGAGCTGTCATTGTTAAGGGCGCTCCAGCTGTGCTCTGCACTCCCCCTGATCCCAGGCCTGTCAGATATGCCATGTTGGATCAGAAGGGAGTTTTTCTCTGCCCTACACCTGATCCCAGATCTGTCAAACCTCTGCCGTCCTCTGATCACAGTGCCTCATATCGCATGTGCTGAGGGACTGTACCAGTGTCACACTCGCGATGATAATCGCTGACTTGATTCCCAGATGTGTCGAAGCATTCCGTCCCATCAGGTAATTGATTATGATTGACCAGATGTATGAAGTCTGACCTTAAACATGTCTTATTAGCTAAATGGTCCAAACGCTCGCGCCAGTAATTTTATGGTAAACCATAATGATTCTGGAGTTATGCTTTCTCTGTCACCGACTTTCACCATCACTCACTCTGTCTTCCTCTCGCTGAATGTCTACTCCCACTTGGCTCTCTCGCCAACATTTTTCCACACAAGCTGAGCGATAGATAGGAACGCGATCAAATATTCATGGTTTGAAACTTGGATTAGTAATGCTGTGTAAATGAGGCCATTTAAAAGTCTGTTTTATTCATTTTATCTGGGTTAGGCTTGCGTACACACATCTTGTACGCACACACCAAACACGCTGTACTGCCAGCGCAAGCGCCTGCTCTTCACCACACTGTTGACAGTGCCATAGCTATTTGAACAGGTATCTAGAGACAGTATGACGGGTTGTGTGCTCTGTATGCAAATTAAAAAGTTGAAGCTTTTTAGAAGTGGAGAGGTGGGGGGTTGTAAAGCTGAATGTGCAGAATGGCATCAGTTCTTCCCAGAGAACGCAGACTCAGGAGGAATATTTGCGAAGAGATCAATGGATGTTATTGGGAGACCTTCAATTGCCACTCCAGCTCATTCAAGCGCTTTCTCTCCCCTACATCTACTTCGGCACTGCTTTGATATATAACCTAGTTTCTTACCCACTGATTCTAAAAGCTATGTAAGTCTTTTTCTTTTATTTGTTTTTCTCATCCCTAAGAATGCGTGTTCATTTGCAATTCAGCTTATAAAACAAAGGCTTGATGACTTGAGCAGCCGCATAAGAGTTTGAGCCTCAATTAGGAGCATGAGGGGCTTTATATCACCACAGAAAGATCTCCAGCAATTACATCCATTACATCTTGTTATCCTGAAACCAACAAATTCACCTGTGCTCACACACCTGTAGCAGCTCCACATTCCTCTCTTTCATGCATATCCTTCCCTCTGATTGTCTCTTCAGGACACCAGGAGTCTTCAAGCCCGCAGCCTTGCAGCACTGGTGGAGGCTCTTGTCCTGCCATGTGTACCTGCAGTAACAACATCGTGGACTGTAGAGGAAAAGGTCTGACTGCCATCCCAGCAAACCTGCCTGAGAGCATGGCTGAAATGTGAGCGCACTACTTCTTTCTTTATTAAACATGTGACAAAAAAAAGCTTTTACAAAAGAAAAAAAAGTCTTCAAATAAAAACCATCTGTGTCTGAAAAATAATAAGTGCAAAATCTGATACCGCCTGAAAACTTTAGAAATATACATTTTTCATGACTGCTGCACTGCAGCTATCACAAATGTCCATAATTCTTTACAGAGTGTTTTCATGGACGAGTGACTGACATGGAAAAGATTCATTATAAACTCCTCAAAAATTCTTAACATTCTTAATTTAATTCTCTTTGCATCAGTCAACGTTTTCTTTAATTGTAGGGGTTTCACAAGGCCGGGGGAGATGAGCATGCTTGTTTTATGTACGCATGCTGTTCTGGGTTAGTTTTTTCAGCATGAATCACCTGGCAGGGCATTCATCATTTTGCTGTGCACTGAGAACGACACATACAGTCTTACGGTCGACTGTAGATTGAAACTGCATGCTCTTATCAGCTCAGATGGCTGTGAACCACATGCGAGTGCTTTACTAACATCCCTCCCTCAGTTTATCAGCCCTCCAACATCTGTCTGAGTATTAACTGTTTACGGCCCAGGATACTGTAATTCCTAGGAAAGCATGGCTAAACTTTTCAAACGAGTCTTTTTTAGTTCTCTTTATCGGGCTTTCATGCCACTCGCAGAAATCTGCATGAAATGGCACTGCAACTTTGTGATTTATGCATGGTGAGAAAAAAAGGAGGATGAAGGGAGGAAGCCAGCGGTCGCATTGCATGTTCTTCCAAGGAGCATGTGTGTCGTTAGGAGGACACAGCAAGTTTCTAGGTCTCCTCCTCCCCATGGGGTCTGTTTATAAATACCCAGCTACCATGGAAGTCACAGATCCCATGTTCCCCAACAACCCTGACCCATTTCTAGTGCAGTGGTGTTCTGAATTTCCTAATTTGGACATGCTGGTCCACACTTCTTGTTCTTCTCTAATTAAATGACCACCCAAGAAATACAGAGACATTTCTAAAAGCTAGGCTTCAGGCATCTTGCATTTTTACTTTTGGGATATAATTAATTCTGCCTGATCTTTAGTCCTGGTCTACAAACTGTAAAACATGGAAAAATTGAGATGCAGTTTTGCAATGTTTTATGGTTTGTAGACCTCCTCAGCATGCCCTCCAGTTGTAATGTTCCACAAGTGGGATATTATACACACTAATATGATCTATGAGACTAATAACCAGTGAGCTGCACTAATGGGTGACCAGGGAAGCTTCTGAAGGATAGCTCTATCATGCACGTTTTATAGAGAGTGGAGTCTATCTGGATAGCAGATGGGTTAGGCCATGTTAAAACCTTCCCTGCCCTTCACATCTAATTGGTGCTTTACTGTGTTCTGCTAATAAACTCTACTATGCTCTGACTCATCTTTTACAAGACCACAAAGGTAAATCACTCGGTTATATTGTGCCTATTCTGTCCTGCCCATCAGGGCCTTACCTTACAGGTTTAATTCCCACAATTTTCTTTCCTGTACCCGTGTCTCCTCCTCTCTTCATTTTTTTATCACTACATTTCACTCTGTCCTCCCTCCCTCTCTCCCCCAATTCCCGGATTTCAAGGAAACAAATCAACACCGAATAACTAAAAAAGAGGGGGTTGAGGCGCTGGTCCGTTCTGTAACTTGGTGCAGCAGGTTTGATCTGTGCTTGAAGTTCATTATAAAATCAGTTGCAATTACAGCAAGGGCGGCTGCTAGATATCAAGGCTAGCCTAATACCTTGTTAATGAGGCCCTCTGTAACTCACGAACACACACGCATGCTGCTCTCATTATGTACAAATCGGAGGATTGCGAACCTCTCTGCCCCGTTTTACCCTAATGAATGCCAGTGTTGTGTGCCGAGGATGTGAGCTGGTTTCTGGTCCTCTGTCTTGTGAAACCAGGCCCAGTTAGCCTGAACGCTACCACAACAGATTATTATGCGCCATAGTCCCCGTCTGCAATGAGTGAATGCTGCCATAAAATTCTCCCCCCTGCCTTTCATCCACACCGCTATGGCTCTGCCATCTACTTCTTACTCACGCACTCACTGGGTGAATACCCAAAGGCATAATGTGTTTCCCCTTAATGAAAACCATGCCCAGGCCCTAATGAAAAGGATGAAGAACATTGATTAGACTGATACAAACAAGAGAACGCACACACACTCAGACACACATACAAATGTTGAGCCTGATAAATTGGATGCAAACCATTGATCGTCGGTCCACTGGCAACTCTGAGAGATTCTATCTTATTTTTTTCCTGTCTGCCAATTGGACGGAGTAGCTCCTGTGTTGATTGCAGGGATTAAGTCGCTTCCACATATTGATCTGGAAGGAGTGACAATGTGAGAGCTTAAAAGTTGTCAGGCAGGCAGTGTGTGTATATCCTTGTCTGGCTCAGAGAAACACACCGGGATACCACAGCATGTAGGCATGCTTATACACAGCAGACGTATACATACACATAGAAACATCATGTAGAGTGCCAGACTGGTTTGGACCAGTCAGACAGACTGGTTGATGAGAGAAGGCGCTAAAGCCACTTGGCCCACCACTCTGCCGCATGGTGAGGGCAGAGGAACCACAGTGCTGTCACTCCTCTCTAAATCCACAGACTCGCTGGGACATTCAGACAAAAACAGACAGAGAGAGCATGTCCACCACAGGAATCTGTGGTCTGGAATCACTGCTATCCTGAGAATGTCAGTTGGATTTCTATATCTCTCCTTAAAGGCCACTCCTTTTGAAGGGGAAAGATTCTTGATTACCAAAAAAATAAAAAAATTAAAAAAAATGTGGAAACCCCAAACTGTTAACTGTTGTGGCTAATGTCCCAACAAAACATTTACCCCCCATGGATAGAAATAAACATAGTCATGCAGAAGGCCTAAGAGGCATGTAGTAAATCTGAAATGCCTCTAACGGAGTAATTAAATCCTGTGGAAATGGTTGCACGCTAAGAAGTCACATACTTAAGAAGGTGATGGTTAAATCTATCAACAGCCATCCTTTGGCCAAAGAGTTTTGCAGATTTTAAAATATTTCTCATTTCCCTGCGGTGACAAATAGCATCTTAATGATTTTTAGATTCTGCCGTAACCGCCCGCCCACCGCAGGCCCATGCCTCATGGTCTGCAGCCAGTCCCTCTGCTGGGAGGCAGAATGGTAGACCAACCAGACAGGCTTGCAGCTGGCTCCCTCTGGGCCCTGCTAAGCCTTGGTAAGGACAGTTTTAAAAGCTGTGAACTGACCTGCAGATAAACAGCCCTCTGCCAGTTACACAAGGGAATTGGTCTGGGTCCTAAGTAGCAGTTTGAAACGCACATATGCATACCCGCTCTAATGGGATGTCTATTTCCCTGGGCACATCTGAGACTGATTAGAGTCGGTTACTGCTCTGTACTACATGCCCAAGTGTATGTTTGTCTGTGTATTAATTTCATTCTTTGACAGTTGTTTTATGGTAAGATTTTGTTTCCCGAGCGTTTTCCTTGTCAACTTTACTTCAGCAGCTCTTAGGCTCAGAGGAAAAAGTAAACTCAAAGAAGCAATATTTCACCCTGCTGCAAAGGTTTCAGTAGACACTTTGCAGACACCCTGAGGATAACAGCGAATTTAACAAGAACAAGTGAGATCATTATTGATCTCAGGATCTCATATGAGAACATAAGTGCTGGAAACTGTAAATGCTATCTCACAAAGAAATATGACTTTTAGTTTTAAAAAAAAAGGCCTTAACACTCTCACACAAACCAAGACCGAGCATTTTCCCCTCCAGTCCTATTCCTCAGCACTTTAGCATTCACACTGTTTATTGGTTCTGAGGATGTTATGACTCCAACATGCCTGGACCTATTACAGCTGGGGAATAGATCTCCACTAATATAATCAGGCCAATCACTAAGGGTCAGAGGTGATTACTCAACTCTGTTAACATGGAGAACTCTATTGTTTGTTTAAATAACACTATATCTTCTTCTCCTCTCCTCTCCACTTCTCTCCTCTCAGACGTCTGGAGCAGAATGGGATTAAGTCTGTTCCACCCGGAGCCTTCTCTCCCTACAAGAAACTGCGTAGGATGTAAGTACATCAGTACACTCACCCTCAGGGCTAAATAATACAGATGAGAACGAGAAGTTTAGGGCTGGAAAAAGAAGCGACAATTGGCGGTCTTCTCATTCCACATCCAGGGAGCATGAAGTATTTATTTTGTCTGTGCCTTAAGAACAAATTCTTGTTCTCAGACTAGTGGTGGCATGGAAAGCAAGCACTCACATCCTACATGAGCGTAATAACAGCTCTCATTTTTCAGTGCTATATACTGGTATTCCCCTGGTTAGTGTTGTGTCCAGTCTGAGTGTGTGTGTTGTGTGCCTGCGTGGGCAAACTGCAAACCACCGGCTGGGACGATGATGATGAGGGGACAGAGAGTGTGTTGGAATGAGGGCTGAGGCTTCGTTCTCTGAACAGTGACAGGCGGGCAGTTAAACACGGAGTGGTTTTTCACCCGTTGAGCCAGCTGTCCGGCCAACTAGCCAGCACACAACCAGGCAGCCAAACCCATACCTCCAACACCACCAGATCTGACTGACATAGCAGCGGGGAGATGGAGGAAACCGGAGGTCAGGGAGTTTTTCTGTCCTTCTTAAAGGAATTCTCACGGTTTTATCATCCAGCCCCGGGGACAGTTTGAAGTTCAGATGAGGTGAACAGAGAGCAGTAGACAGAGCAAAGCAGCTGCTGTCTTAATGTAGCTCCAAG